CTCGAATTTCTCCCCGGTGCTACGATAGCCAAGATAGCAGAGAATCCGCATACGCGGCGAGGAAGATTTCACTTTCCTTATTTGACCACGCGCGGGATCAACAAGACGAAACTCGCCTTCGATTTGCGACTTTAATTACACGCGACAAACGTGAAACTCTCACAGCAAATTTCATTCGCGGTACTTCGAGAAAACAACCACCGAGGAGCGGCGCGATGTTGAAGCAACAAACGACAGAACAAGAAGAAGGCACGCAAGTCGGAGCAGAAGGCGGAAGCTTTCTTCCTGCTTACGTGGACCAATTAATTGTTGACGCGTTATAAATCGTTTGAGGACTGGCAGATCGATAGATCCTGCGCGTCGGAATTAGGCGCAAGCTCGCAGTTAGAGTATGGCGCCAGAACTTTTCAGTGGACGCGAAGGGATGACGCTTAATTGTATGTATCGCGATAAGAATGATGGAGTTTTCGGAGGAGTCGCGCGAGCATCTGAGGATTTCGTGATCGATAGATAGGTTCCGCGATCTAGATTCTGGTCGGAACATACGGAACAAACATAAAGAGAAAAGAAGCATAATGGATAACTTTTACATATTACAACATAGTTGAGAAGATACATCAGAAAAAGCTATTTAATTTTGTTATTTTAAAATCTCTTGATAATAATACTTAATGAAAATACTTATTGTGAAATACTTAATGTGAAAAGTTCGCGTCACAACTTACGTTCAATTTTAAATTTTAATTAAGGAAAATAGACAGAAGTATTCGTACATTAAGAAACCATCATACCTTTCCAATATGCTTTCCAGCAGCCATATATCTAAAAGCAGTTTCTATTTCATGCTTTTCAAAAACTTTTCTGCATAACGGTTTGATGGCGCCATTCTTTAAGCCTTCCATTAACTTGTTCCGTAGTATTGCCTTACTCTCTGGTTCTGCAGAAAATAACTTATCCAATAAGATGCCATGAAAACTAATACCTTTCGAAAATGCAAATATTTCTAGAGGATTATTGGAGACCATATCAAACTTTCCAATCTCGAGAAAACGACCACCCTTTGCTAAGCAACGGACGGACGCTTGTAGTTTCTCTTCAGCTAAAGAATTTAATACGATATTCACTCCGCGACCTTTTGTTCCCTGAATAATCATTTGTTCGAAGCTCGTATCACGAGAGTTTCCAATGTGATCCTCGGGAATAGAAGGAAACGTTTTTCTTATAAAGTCTCGTTTCTCGATACTCCCAACCGTCGTAAACACTTCGCAACCCTCGTAAAGGGCAAGATAAATGGCAGCTTGACCAACACCTCCTACCAGAGTGAATCAATATTTTGTCGTCTTTTTTCATTTTACCATTCAAATACAAAGCGTAATAACACGTGCTATATACACAAGGAACCGTCGCAGCGTCTTCCATCGTCCACATGTCAGGTATGATCCAACTAAGATATTTGTCAATTATGAGAATATTTGTCATTCCTCTGAAAATAATATAATTTAGAAAATCATATAAAAATATATTATGTTAAAATTAAGTCAAAGAAATATTTTTTGTGAATAATATGTAAAGGTTAGATAAAGAATGAAAAAAAGCATGTAAAATATAGTAACTTTTTCATTTTTTACTTCATCGAAAACGTTTCTAATTTAAATATACAAAATTTATTTTATTAAGAATATACGTTTAGAATATTCGTTTATTTTTATTAAGAATATACACATTAAGATTCTATTCACATACATATTAAGATTTTATCAAGTTTTTATCTAATATTCGCTTACCCTGTTGAACATAATCCCATTATTCTTTGCCCAGTTTTATTAAAACCAGCAAATTCCATTCCAATTAAAGAATTATTATTTCGTTCGGTTGTAATAGATTCAATGGTGAGTCTACCGCTAGCTATCATGACATCTCTAAAATTGATAGATGCATAAACTACTCTTACTAGATTTTCTTCATTATTGTTAACGAAAGATACCCTACTTTGCATCCAACAAAGAGTACTCAGATCACCTCGCACCTAAAATAAATAAATATAATAAGTTATTTTAAGCTTATTAAGGGAATTATCACTATCTTCCTAAATATAATAATCCGAATCTTCTTAAAATCGTACCATTTGAGAAACATAAGCATTCTGTACGAGTTTTGGTTCTAATAATGATAATGGAAAATGTCTGTAGGATCCCCAAATGCCAGAACGTATAACATTGATGGGTAAATCCAGTTGTAGCTGCTTCATATATAACGATTCTTGCAATGAAAAAGCAGGCGCATCTCCATCTTGAATAAATACACTTCTAATCATTTCACTACCCGGTTCTTTTCGCAAACAATTGACAAGGCCGAGTAGACCGCATTCGAAGTCTCCTTCTGCGACGATTATAATTCTCGTATTTGTGTTGTCATTTTCCACGTTCATGAATGATTTAATCTCATTTATCCACGAAAATTCGTAATTATTTACATGCACAATCTGCTGATTCGTCTTAAAATCTTGTATTTTTCTTAATAATACAATTGTCTTATCATTGGTGCGTTTTTCCAAAATTACTTTTAATCCATATTTGTCCAGACATGAGTAATCGTAAATAGCATCTAACTCTTCGAATGTCAGAAGAAATCCTCTTGGCATTATGGCAGACAACAATTGTTCGTATAAATCGTTTCTATTTTTTGTTAAAATTCCGAAACCTATAATCATCAAACAATTTTCATTTTTCGTCAGTTTATCAAATTCCATCGTAGAAATATTGTTGGGCAAAGAAATATCTTTGAATCGTTCGTTACTCGTTACTATTTTGATATTGTAACAAATTTGCGGTAAGTCGTCTAAAATTTTATAAACATGTAAAGAATTTAAATTCTCCGGCATCATTTCATCGCTACTTTCGATAAATTCAATGATTTTTACGTTTATCATGTTATGGCACTCAAGTGCAACGTGCACCGACATTCTTATTGCATCTTGCAAAGATGTCACATTTAAATCTCGATGAGCAACAAACTTGTACTCTTCAAAAACGGGGTTGGCTACATTTTGTCGACGAGATATAGCTGTAGCTATAAGACCGTGTATTTCTATTCCTCCAGATATCAAAACATCTAAGTGCTTATAATTTTGCACAAGAACTTCTGCGGATATAAAGACAATATCATATCAAGTATATATTTTTCGAAAAATAATATTCGATTAAATACGTATATAGTTTATTTAATTCTGTAATACTTACGTTTTTTTTTATTTGAAAGTTTTTCAATATATTTTATGTGAGATTTTGGATCGATTACCACTTTACGAATTTTTGTTGGTACAAAAAGACTTCTCGAATCCTGCCCTAAAATCATCATCTGTAATATATTGTCCATAAACGTTACCCAATTGTCAGTCCAGGCAATATGACCATTCTTTCCTGTGATTGACGCACTTCTTAATCCACGAAATTCGCTGGTATATTGATAACCACGAAGTTTCAATTCTTTGTAAATATCTTTTATATTCATCTCCTCTTTGTCATTGTCATTTCGATCAATGAATGTGCTACATATTTTCTCGTTTTTAATATTATCAGGAATTCGTACTATTCCAGTGACGACAGCACTGTCCCCTTCGATTATTTCGAATTTGCAACTATCTATAAGAATACGATTATCAATTTCTTGTATGAATATTTAATTTATAAACGGAAATTCTATTCCATGTTTTATAAAGAAATTCTATGTGTCATAAAGAGTGGATGTTTTTAACAAAGAATAAATTCCAGCTGGCCTTCAATTGTGGAAAGTAAATACCAATCATAGTACACAATTTGCAAGTTCAATAAATAAAAATAAATTTTTATTTTAATGAAAGTGTTCCTATAGCATTATTAATGATCAGATAAGTGCTACTTCTGATATGCATTTGCGTAAGAAACTTTGTTATATCGGGTAACCAATAATTTTAATAAATTACAGAAAATTAACTTAGCTATGGTATCTTTAAATTGCAATCTTTCGAGCATAGATTTTTAGCATTACATTAATTAAAATAGCAAAGATAAAAATAAAAATGATATGTATAAAGATCAAACAGATCAATCAAATCAACAAAATTAACAAAACATTTTTTTACTGTAAACTGACAGCAGAAATTTTAAGATTTCTGTATAATGTTTACTTTTTCAACAGAATACAAGCTTAATACAATACTAATATATTGCAATTTTTGGTCGAATCTGCTGCTTTATTGACAATCTGTTAATAATTTTTGTTTATTAAATACAAATCTTTTTTTAATTTATTTTTTTCAATTGAATTTTTTCACTTATTCATATTTTATATCTTAAAAAATTTTTATCCCTTTATATATCTATATCACATTATTTTAATTGTATCAGTTACCCTTTTGGATCATAAGAGTTAAATTGACTAGATTTTGCTTCGACAGAACTGTAGAACGTAAGAAATTGACATCTTCAAATACAATTGGTACATCGAGATGATTTCGCTTTTTTAACCAGCCGATCATTTGCCATATCAGGAAAAGATATCCTGTAGCCGGTAATAAATTTTTTCTATTAACGACATGCCCGGTCATATATGTAAATTCTTCATCTAATAAATTAATGGTAACAATTGCTTCCCCAATGTAAAGTTTTCTTTGTGCAAAATAACGGTATGCATACCAATCTTCGGAATGATCCCATCTGTAAAACATGTCATTAATTTTACAATATAACAGCGTTATTAGTGTTTAAAAGTCTAAATTAGTCGTTAAAAATAATGCAATTTATTTTTTTGTTTTTAAAATTGTGCTGTTTTACTGTAATAAACATAACGTTGAAAAATCTTATATTAAGCAAAATTTAAAATTTTATATTAAGCAAAATTTACCTTATAAGATGAGAAATCATCGGTGTATTACGACTCACAGGGAACATAACTTCCGGATATAAATTTGCGATTTGCAGCTGTAATCCTGCATTATAAAGTTTTGCAATTCCATGTAAGAATATTTCAACGTTGGATTTGTGAGAGAATTTGTATAACGCGACATTTGTCACAGTTGCCTTTAATGAATCGTTAAGAATGTATTGTAGAATGTCATGCGGCGCTATCTCAATCGTCACCGCGTCGTTTGGAATAAAACGCACAGCTTCTGAAAATACTACCGGGGCTAACAGATTATTTGTATAATATTTTGCTAGATACGAGGTATTTGAAGATGTGCTGAACCATTCATAAGATTTATTCAACATGTTCAACCACTTTGAGCTCGGAGAGATTTTCTGTGGCAATATCTGATTCAAGTATTCCAAAAGTTTAACTCTCGCAGGCTCGACGTACCGACTATGAAAAGGTACAAGAAATATCTTTTACAGGAATATTGTCATTCTAAACAGAAATAAATTTTTTTTAAATAAATTTATTTAATCGAACGTAATTAAAAGCATAGATATATTATTTGTACTTTTTAAATGTTTCCAAACCTGTAGCTTAGCGAGGAATGCTCTCATAGAGCTTGTTGGTCCACTCACAATATAATTATGCGAACTATTGCAACAAGCTATATCGATATCCGATGGACACATATTTTTCATAGTTTTAAAATCTAAATTAATTTCAGCCATCAAGCCATCTATTATTTTTGACTTAACAAATGTTAAACCTACATAATAAGCCATCATGATAGTTTCTTCGGCCGTCAAACATCCATCGGCATATCCACAAACCAATTCACCAATAGAATGACCCATTATAATATCAGGAGTGATACCAATACTTATTAAGAGATCAACTATTCCGATCTGTAATATACATATTTTTTTATAAATTTCAACATTAACATTTTCTATTTTTCTTTTAAATAAAATAATATTTTAAAATATTACTACAAATTTAACTTTCTGCATACAATTATGTAATATATGAAAGACTTTTCAATTTCATTTTATGTACAAAAATTTTGAGTTTTTATGAAATATTAATTTTTGTAAATATACGGCGCTTCATTAGATAATACAAAATAATTCCACGATATATATAGACAACATATTTTTGTTCATACCTGTAATCCAATAAGGCCTACAAATAAGTTGATTACGTTATCGAGAATATATTTGTCTTTATTTATTAAAATATCTGTGACAAATACATCATAAGGTTTCAAAACAGTATCGCATTTTTGGATTGCTTTAGCAAATACTGGAAATTCCATTAAAGCTCGACCTATATATATATGTATCAATATTTATGTATCAATATTTAAAAAATACATATATGTATCAATATTTAAAAACATATAATTATATTACATACATTGTCGATAATTATTTTAAATAATATGTAATATTTTTACATAATTATTCTAAACATACATAAATGAGTTCTCTAGAAATCGCTTATCTTTGTTTTGCATATGCTTTCTATAGTATCATTATATTTTAGTTTAGTATTATATAGTTTGTATCAAAGGATAGACTTTTTACATCTAAATGTAACTTAAACAATTATTTAATAAAAATTTACTAACTGGAAATATTATAATTGCTTATAATTTTATTGTTTATAAGAATATATATGTATAATTTAAAAATCGTTAAACGTTAATTGACAAATAAACATCTTAATAATTATTATTACATTGTAATATATAATGATTTACTTGCCTATATTAAAACACTGAGATCCAATTCCAGAAAATATGAAGCAAATTGATCTTTTCGTATATAAGTTGCATCTCCTTTTAATTATTGCATTATCAGTTGTTTTGGACCCAGCAATTATGTATCCTCTGTAGGGATGATCTTTTATATTTCCGCTATGAATACGATGTAAGAGAGATATATATTCTACATCTATTGACTGACTCTGTATCTATAAAGATATATTAGTTATATCTTTAATATAATTGTGAAAGTATAATTATCTTATAACAGTTTAATGGATTATTCTTCTTTAAATTAATTATAATTAGAAATTTAGTTAAGTAAATGTTTTTATATATTTGATTTTGAAAAATCTGATTGCCTTTAAAATATTCTATAATTTATTTCGTTGCCATGTTGGATATTATTTAGTCACTTTCAAATTCAAATAGATATATTAACAGATGCGTTTCTAGAATAATCGATTTTAATATGTTAGACCTATATGTTAGATCTATTCATATAATTTTTTACTCTTCTTTCATTTTCATTGACTAAAATCAATTTGAATTTATCTCTATAACTTTTATATTTAGATGTCAATCTTAAAATTATTATTTTAATACGATTAATATACTTTAAACAAATATAATTTACTTATCATAACAATGATTTTTTTTAATTTTTTATATAAAGAAACTTTTAAATCATTTTTACCTTTTATTTCGTATTAATATATTTTTTATCCTTTTCGTTAAATTATTTAATAGTAGTATATACTTACGTCATCTAATATGGTTTTAACTGCATCTTTGGTACGTCTAGATATAACTACAAGCTTAGGTAAATTATTATTTGTTTCACTGACTTTAATTTTCGGATTTGATTTCAATAATATATGGGAATTAGCACCACCAAATCCGAAAGAATTAATACCGACGTAGCCACCCTTTCATTCTGTCGGTTCAGTAACTATTTTTACTCTTCCTTCAATGATAGCAGTCATATCCTTTCGTGGACGTTTAAAATGTATAGTAGGAGGAATTATACCAGTTTCCATCGCTATTAAAACCTTTACAAAGGAAATATATTTATTATAATGCACATAGCTAATAATATTTTAGTTTTATAATTCTAATAAATAATAATTCTAATAAATAATCAAAAATGACAGATAAATAAGAAAAATATAAAAATTTACTTACAGGGTGTCCATCAATTTCCGGACCTTGACGAAATAAGGAAGTAGATTGGCTCAAATTAAGAACGAATGACCTCTATTGTTTTGTGATTGTTGCAATAATTAACGAAAAATTAAATAAAGAAGATCGGCCAATCTGCGTGGGAGGAGCGATGAGTGTGTAAGCGTGTGGCGAAGGCTCCTTCCCTCCCCAATCCTCGCTTCGTCGCGCGCCACAATTATGTTACAGTCAGACCATCTTCGCTGTCGTGTGCTTCTAGCCACGCGTATTGGCCCATCTTCTTTATTTAATTTTTCGTTAATTATTGCGACAATCACAAAACAATAGAGGTCTTTGCTTCTTAATTTGAGCCAATCTACCTCCTCACTTTGTTAAGGTCAAAAATTCTCTGCCACCCTGTATATATACAGTGACCGGCAAAAATAAAAAGCCACCTTAACTATAAAACTGATTTGATGCTAAAAGGTAAAAAAAATTTATTATAAAGTTTTTTATAACTAAAACTGAAAATTTATTAAGTAATTTAATGTTTTTAATTAAAAAGAAATCATTTTTTATTTAATACTGTATTTATTTCTATATAATCATTTATTTAAGAGTGACAAAATAAAAAAGCCAGTTAAGGTAACATAGTATTACGATTTAAAAAAACAACAATATTATTTTAATTAATAATTAATATGATTTCCTTTAACCTCAATTACTTTTTGCAGTCTTTTTGGTATACTTTCAATTAAATTTTTTAAATGTTGTGGATCCAAATTCTCCCAGGCTAGTTGTAATGCTTCAAAATAAGAATTCTTGTTAGTTACTCCGCTTTTATTAATCCTATTATCCAAAATTGCCCACAGATTTTCGATAGGGTTCAAATCTGGAGATTGCGGAGGCCATTCAAGTTGTTTAATTCGGCAGGAACGAAAAAAAGCTTGACTTTTCTTTGCTGTGTGTTTCGGGTCATTATCTTGTTGGAAAATAAAATTATCTTCTAGTCCGAGTTTCAACAAACACTCCTCCAAATTTTCATTTATTATATCAATGTAGACATCTGCTGTCATAATTCCGTTAATTTTGACAAGATTTCCCACTCCTGCCCATGAGAAACATCCCCAGACTAAAATATTTCCTCCGCCATACTTTACAGTTTTCTGAATGACGATCTTGAAGCTCTTCGCCGTGTTTTCTCCAGACTCTAATCCGCTTCTTTTGTCCAAATAACTCGAATTTGCTTTCATCTGTCCATAAAATATTTTTCCAGAAGTCCAATGACATATTTGCATACTTCCGAGCAAATTGCAAACGTTTTTTCTTATTGGTGACGCTAAAGAAAGGTCGTTTACGTGCAAACCGGCTGTGTAAATTTGCTTCATTGAGTCTTCGACGTACAGTGCGGTCAGAAACAGTAAGATAAATGTTTTCCTGAATTTCTCTAACAGTAATCTTTGGATTTTTCTTAACTTCACGGATTATTTTCATATCCTCCCGCTTGGATGTTGCTCGTTTTCGACCTCTTCCGATTCTATCTGCCACCGATCCAGTTGATTGAAATTTTCTTCTGATCTGTTCTACTGCTCCTCTACTTACTTCATAATTTTTGGCTATATTCCGTTGGGAAAGACCTTTTTGAATATCTCGCACAATTAAGTTTCGAACTTGTGTGGAAATTGATCTTCCTCCCATTTTTGACCGCGAATTTTTTGTAATAATCGAGATAAGCCAATGTTGCAAAAATGATTAACAACAACGAGAAGTGAGCGCAATAACACGAACATGTTGACATGACAACCAAACAAAATATTGTATATATTAAATCGAACAAATCTGAATGGCTTTTTTATTTTGTCAATATAATAAACAGCAATATTTAAGAAATATAAATAAAACTGAAAAGTAAAAAATAATTTATGTAATTGTAACATAAAATTTTAAAATAAATAATAAATACTTCTTCTTTCATCAATGAAAATCTCATCGTTTTAATATTTTTACTCTTTCATTAAGCAAAACAGTATAACTAGGAAAGTGGCTTTTTATTTTTGCCGGTCACTGTATATATATATATATATATATATATATATATATATATATATATATAGGGTATTAGATTTTATATATATATATATATATATATATATATAAAGTCTAATATACAGGGTGTCCCATTTTAATCGATGACCCCGAATAACTTTTTTAATTTTGATTGTAGGAAAAAATGTTTCAGACAAAAGTTGTATGGCTTGAAGGGGGACATAAGATGGTATCATTGGTTTTATCTTGAAAAGTTGTTTGAAGGTCACATAAAGGCTTCGATTTTTTTAATGGAACCCCCTATTTTTTATTACTTATTCTTGTAGCTTATCTCGAGAGCTTTTCAAAACACTATAATAAAATATTTCTTCATTGAGTACTTTTCGAGTTATGAGGCTTGAAATTATTTCTTAATTTTACATAAACCATAAAATATCTAGTAAAATATTCATTTTTTGATTATCCTACTTTGATACTTTTATGTACAAAATAATGAGAGGAATCAATTGCTGTAAAGGAAACACATAATTATTTCGAAGAAAAAATATGTAATTTGCAATTAACAATTCTATATTTTTTCTTAAAAGCAACTGTGTTTTTCCTTTACACCAATTGATTCCTCTCATTATTTTGTACATAAAAGTATTAAAGTAGGATAAACGTAAAATAAATATTTTACTAGATATTTTACGGTTTATGTAACATTAAGGTATTATTTCAAGCCTCATAACTCGCAAAGTACTTAATAAAAACTAACTTAATTATAGTGTTTTGGAAAGCTCTTGAGATGAACTAAAAAAATATACAAAAGCATACAGGATGTCCCATTTAAAAAGTTGGATGTGACCTTCACGTGACTCTTCAATGTCAAACTAAAGACACCATTTTATGTCTCCCTTCAAGCCATATAACTTTTGTCTGAAACATTTTTTCCTACAATCAAAATTAAAAAAGTTATTCGGGGTCATCGATTAAAATGGGACACCCTGTATATATATATATATATATATATATATATATATATAATCTAATATATATATATATATATTAGATTACATAGATGTATTAACTCTATTCTGTAAACCTTTGTGGTAAACCTTACCTTTGCAATTTGACAATGACCGCTAGCGGCTTCAGAATGTCCAGCATTCGATTTTACTGAACCTACTAATAGAGGAAGATCTCTTTTGATGCATAAAGCTTCGTCGATTGCTTGAAGCTCCACGGGATCCGGCTATAGTGCCAGTTGCATGAGCTTCTAAATAAGATAATTCAAGGGGTGAAACGTTACATTCTTTGTAAAATTCTTCCAATAATAATTTTTGTTTATCTAATGATGGAAAAGTAATTCCTTCTTCTTTAAAACCATCGCAGTTGGTTTTACCATAAACAAAAGTCGCATAAATTCTTTTTGCATCCTTTGCTTTTTGCAAGTACACTACTGTGGCCCCATCGCTACGCATGTAACCGGTACCTTCTTCATCGTAAGGTTTACAGTAGCCATCGCCGGATAAAACTCCTAAAATAATATTAATAATTTATTTCGATTGAATATGAAAAATGTAATTTACTTTTTTATTCTCGGTGTCTTAATTAATTTATCAGATACTTAAAAACTTTGATAAATATATTAAATAAGCGAATCAGTTATATTGGTATATTTTGAAAAGAGAATCTATTAGATCAAATATATTGTATTAATTAATGCATCAATAAATAACTTAAACCATTTAACAATCTGAAATACAACATCTTTGATCATAGTAATATTGTTTTTGATATACCCAGAAGATGAAACTGTTGAGTTATAAGAGGATGAATGCACAAATTGACACTAGCGACAATAGCTGCGTCGCAAAATCCAGATCGAATCAAATTGTAAGCTTTTACCATAGCTAAATGGCTCGAACTACATGCAGTATCGATATTACACGATGGTCCAGTAACGTTGAGCCAGTAAGAAATTCTATTTGACAACATACTTTTACTGCAACCAAGTATGGGTAATCCAGCAATCTAATTACGATACAGTTTTTAAATTAATATATTTTTAATATATGTAATTAATATATATTAAAATATATATAATTAATATATATTAAAATATTTTTTGTTACAATATCCTTATATATACATATTAATACGTTCATATAGTTTTAAGAGTGTTTTTTCTTATCGATTTTGAATAGTTAAATTATTCACATACATGAGTCTGGAATAATAAAATTATTGACATACATGAGTCTTTTCGTATATTACAGCGAGAAATGTATCGGAAACTGACATTGCTGTGATAACTCCCATCCTTGTTCCCTGCAGTTCTGCAGGATCGACACCTGCGTCAATAATTGCTGCAAAGGTGTTTTCAAGCACTATTCTAGTTCCAGGATCAAGCGTATGAGCTTCTTTGATCGACATATTAAAAAATTTCGCATCAAATTTTTCTATATTGTTGATTTTTCCTATTCGAGGAGGCATTTCATAGGAAACTGTCAAAATTTAAAACCATTTATATGAAAATAACATATATTTAAATCATAAATAAGAACAGCATTCTTAAAGATGGGCAAGATATTTTTAAAGATAAACGACATTTTTTGATTATTTTTTCATTTTAACATCAAACGCAAGAAACTTTCGAACATGTTATAATAAAATTGATTTATATAGGTATAAATTGCATATAGAATATTAATTATCAATTTTAATGTTATATTTATAAACCGCTAGATTTTGTAAATTCGTGAGTATCATTAGTACATGTTTTACGAGATATAAATATTATCTTTTTAAATATAAAGAATAATGATATTTTTACCCAGGAAAAAAGTTTATACATATAATTATATATAAAATTTTATATAAAATATACCTACATACATATATATGTTTGCTTACTCTTGTACTTTGCTGCGTATATACAGAAAAAAAAATAAAAAAGAATAATTGGTGAATAATTAAAAGAATAATTTTTTCATTCTTTCTTTTAGAAAAAATGAGATTTGAAGAAATAAAAAGGTCCCATGTGTAGTCAACTTTTTCTTTTTATATAATTATATATATAGATCTGTTAGTTTCTTATATATTTATTTTAATCTTCTAAGTATATATATATATATATATATATATATATATATATATATATATAAAAGCGTACAATCCTAAGAATAGGCAGCGAAAAATATAAAAAAGGATATAATGAATAAAAGATAAGAACTACTTTTAATGCCACATGCTGGCTTATTATCATTGGTCCAATCAGAGATTTCGCTGTCTAGTGAGATTAAATAATAAATGTTTAGCCAATAGAAGACTCGAGTCTGTCGCTATACACAACAAAATCATTTATCCTCAATACTTTTCCACAATTTTATTTATTTTTTATGTAAAAATTTTAATTATTTTCTAAATTATTCTTTATTTTTGTATATAGAAATAGAGATATATAAGAAACATAAATCGATATATATATTCTATATATACTTTAACTTATTTTATTTATTTATTTAATTTATTATATATTATTGTGTAGACTTTTTCCCAAGATAGAGAAAAGAAATTTGAGAAAAAATATTACAGTTGGTCCAGCGTTGATGATCCTCCGAGCCAAGATCCATTTTATTGAAAAGATTGTCCCGAAATTCTTTCATATTATCAGAATTAGGAAATCGTCCAGCGATACCAGAGATAACTATTTCTTCTCCCGCATCAACGCTGACATATGGATTGAACCGTTTATTATTATTATTCATTTTCTACAAATTCTAATAAATCTGAAAAAAGATATTAGAATTTTATTTCAGAATTATATATGTATAATTAGAAAGACGGAGAATGAAATTTATAGTTGTCATAGAAATAATCTTTGAAATAATTTACTCAAAAATTGATAAAGAATATATACAGAAAAGAGCAAGAGAAAAATTTGTACTCACATTCAAAAATTTTTTTATGAAAGCAGCGCTCAGCGATTTTAATAAAAAGACAACTTTATAAAACTGACTATCACAATGACTGATATCATAGAACGAAATGTGTTTTACTATTAAATCAGACACTAATGTATAACTTGTGTGATAACAATTCAATATATAAGCTTCATAATGATAATCATATAACCGGAAAATGTGTGCATTGTATAATCTGTATAATTTTACAATTAAAATGAAATTTATACATGCATAATGTCGCAAAGTCCAACGGAAACGCAAAGTAAAAATACGCGATTTAAAATACGCTATTGTTTTAAACGCAGTTTAAAAAACATACTAGTGCGATTATTGCGATGTATTAATTTGAGATTTTTAGAAAATATATTCAAATGCCAGATGAATTTGTTGTTCAAATTCATTTTGTAAAATGTAAAGTTTCAAAAAATATGTAAATTTATCTACAAATAATAATAGAATTTTAAAAGTGAAACACCCTTTGAAAATTCACGGCAGTCAGAATTAAATTTTTACATTAAATATTGAATTATTAATTAAATAATATTTTTGATAAAAATTTTATTGCATATTTAGTTTCTAATAGCCATACAGCTTTAAGAGGATATTTTTTAAATTTTATTTTTTTATTATTTTTAAGAAAAAGATTTAAAATATTAAATTTACTCATTCTTTTATTATTTTTGAATAAAATCTTATATAAAATCTTAAAAGCATTTAAAAAGATAAATAGATGTATTTATATACATACAGGTCTGATAATAATCATATTTACCTTTCGTGTGCAGAGTGGATCAAATCAAATAAAGAAGTTCTTTACCGTTTCGTATGATTTTTAAAATAGTTAATGAGAAATTAATTTAAAAAAACCACGCGAGAATCGATGTACGACGAACAGAGATATTCCAAGAAATGTTTGCTAAACGCAAAATTGCTTAGAAAAATTGCTAAACGCAATACATAATTAAATTTTTATTATTAATTGAATATTGTTTGATTATTAATTCCAGTGTTTAATCGTACGGAAATTATATTTGTTCTGTTCAAAATTACTCTACCTGCAGATGAGACGTGATTAGGTTATTACCAGACACATATATACATTATACGTATTGATACGTATTGATCTTAACAGTATTTGTCCTTTCATTTTTCAACGTAGAATTATGCAATATAAATTATACATTTCAAATTTAAATCAATATATTATACATAAATTCAAAGTTCATCGGAACATTATCGGAGAATTGTGAATATTTAATTAGCTCAAAATAAATACCACAGTACAATTGTAATATTATTTTATATTTTTATTACATTGTAATATTATTTTATACTTATTACATTCTAAGTGTGTTCTTATTTGGATTGATGAAAGGCGCACTTTTTGTTCACACTGACGTGAAAAATGAACAATATAAAATATTAAAAAGAAAATAGCAAAAGAACCAACGCGCGGTAGTTGGAGCGCAAAGAACAATACTTCTTTCTTTTTTCAATATTAGTTTATTAAAAAACTCATATTACAACAATCCAAAACGTTCGTTGTTTTGTTGTTGTAATAAGTTTTTTAATAAACTAATATTGAAAAGAAAAGAAGTGTTGTTGCTTCTCTACGCTGTAACTATCGCACGTTGGTTCTTATACCATTTTCTTTTTAATTTTTTAAATAAGGAAATTTTCTGCTGTTTTATGCGATTTTTATACAAAAATAATTAATGAGAAATTAATTAACAAAAATCCACACGAGAATAGATACGTGACGAGAAGAGATAATCCAAAAAATGTTACACATTTCCTAAACGCAATATGTCAATGTCCAGCTAATATACTCTTTGAGGTCTGTTTTCTTGCATTATATATTTTATGAGATCTGTTTCTTTTCACTGGATTGTATCTACAGCGCATGGCCTTTTGGGGATCAGAGTGGCCCAATCATCTTTTTTGGACGGTCTAAGTGGCCCCGTCATGCGATCGAATAGAAAAAGCAGTCACGTGTTAGCCAAGTTTTTGAATAAAGCTAATTATTGAAGTGCGACTCAATTCACTGTTTTTACTTACATTTTCCTTAGAAGAAAACGCAAGAATAAGTGATCCAAAACGTAAAACTTTTGCCACTTGGGTAAATCTTTTCCACGTGTATAAACTACAATTCTTTCGGGGCACGTCGAACGAAGATTTAACAATCATAAAAATGGTCCTTCGAGTCGGATAATTTAGAAATTCTTTACATCGCATGAAACATTATCGAAGATTACACGAAGACATTGTTTAACATTTGAGGCCCTTTATGTTTTTTCCTTGTACGAAGTTCAATGTGTGAGTGAAAGACACGGATCATCTATTTACGACACAAGAAACGACGGAACAGTAATACAATGATACTAAGACGATTTAAGCGTAATCATAGATAAATAATCTAAAAATACCTATTGCGTAAGTTATATAAATCTGTAATAATACTCGTTAAATATTTCTTGCCTTATTCATTTGTTAATCATAATGAATAACGAAATTCGAATGCTAGTACAAAAACGTGCTACAATAAAATCACAGCTTACTCGTTTTAGAGGGTATTTAGAAAAATGTAGTGAGCGTCCAGACGACAATTAATCAAGTGTCTTGAAAAAATTAGGTCTACGTGGGATAGTTTCGACCAAGAGTACAATCCAACCTTGAGTTATTGAATGTGAACATGGTGACGAGCATGGAGTGAAATCAAATGACGATAACGAAAGAGCGTAATTCAAGGAGGCTTTCTTTGAATTAAACGCCCGCGCCCAACGTCTGTTGGCATTTCTTAGGATCCCCGCTACTAATGGTAACATGTAATCTTGAGACTGTTCAAAACCAGCCTGTCGTACGAAGCGTAAAAACGAATATAAAGCTTCCTACAATTAATTTACTACTTTCGACGGAAAAGAGACGTGATGACGTAAATCTTACACC